TTTTTCTTTTTCTTTCCTTTCCTTTCATTTCATTTCCTTTATTAATATTTATCCAAACATAGCGTTAGGGATTGAAGGGTTTTAGGGTTTCGAGGGTTTAAAAGAAATGTGAACATCTCTAAAATTTTCTCACATCTAAGTGGACTTTCAAAGCAAGTTCAGTTTTTATGATTTTCGAAAATTAATTTTTATTTGGAACAAACTCGTTTTTCAAATTTTCTAAAAATTAATTTTTAGATTCTATATAAAATTTATTATTATTGTTTGCTTATCTCTTATTATTTTATTTTTATTATTTATTAATTTTCCAATATTTAGGCAAAATTATTATTATTATTTAAAATCCATTTTTTTTTATTCCCTCCAACTTCAAGGCAGAGATTTTAAAACTTTTATTATTATTCTATTTTCATTATAATTTTTTTTATAAATACTCTTTTTAGCATTTATTTATTGATTATTATTCTTCTTTATTTTTTCAAATTTAATTATTTCAAAAGTTTTGAAATCATTTTTATGTTTTATTGTTATCATAATTATCTTTAGTTATTTTTATATTACATTATTTTATAAGGTTTATCATAAATTTTAAAATTATAAAAAATTTTAACCATAGTTTTCATTGTTTATTTTTATTTATTCGTTATTATAAATTTTATATTTATTATTTTTTTGTCATTATTATATTTATTTTAACATGTTCTAAATTATAAATTAAAATACCAATAATAACACACAAAAAAATAATACTAATAAAAATATAGGAAAAAATTTAAAAAAAGCCAATTTTGTACCGATCAACGACAAGTCAACATTAATCAATGGTAGTCAACGCCAATCAATTCAGCAACGATCCAAAACCAATTCAGTTGGACCGATCAATAGGGGGAACGGGTCCCAGGTCAGACGTGCAGATCTCGGGTCAGGTCATAGGTCACATACAAATCTTTTGCCCTTAAAATGATGTCATTTTCGTATTTTTTTTTTACTACACTATAAATTCTCAAATTTTTTTATTTCATTTCAGACCTTTTTTTTTACAAAAAAAAAAAACCTTTCTTCTTAAAAAAAATAAAGGCTTTCCCAACCCCTGATTTCTGACGAAGCCTACCACGATCACCGTCGCTTCGTCACCGATGCTGCCATTGGCTAGTGGCCTTTCCTTCTCAAAATCAAGCCCGAGCTTCTTTTTGACCTCTTTTTTTTATATTTTCCAAATGATTTTCCAAAAAACTAGCCTAAAATCCAAGATATGGCTTAAAATTCGATGGTTCAAACCTCCAAAAGTTCCCCTCCATAGCTTTCAATGCTACCAACTTTCATTATGTTCCTCCTCATTTTAAAGCTTTCTTCTTCACCAAAAATTTAAACCTAAAACACTTTAAATCACCCAAGCTGAAAGTTTTTTCATTTTTTTTTTATTTTGCTGCTATGTTCCTTACCAAATCTGGTGATGACTGTGGCTTACTAATTATTGTGTGTGTGTGTGTGTTTTTTTATTGATTATTGAGTTTGGCAATAGGTACTTATTTTTTTAGGGAAGGCTTTTAGTAATAGAGGGTGGCCTAGTAGTTGGTGGGTATTTTGAATAGGTGGTGGGACTTTGGTTGAATGGGGAATGGAAGGCTTGACCGGATGGTGCCTACCCTAGGGCTGGATTATCAGCTGTGTTAGAGGTGTTTTTTTGGTTAGTGTATCGACGATGGTTGAAGGGCTGGTTTGAGGGCTAGTCTTGGGGTGTGGTGCGATTTTTGGGATAGACTAGTGTGTGATTTTTTAGTAGCTCTCTAGGTGAGGCTTGTTGAATATGGGTTATAGGGATTTTCTTTCTTTCTAGATCATCACCTTCATTAAATTTGGGGAAAAGAGCATTTTATCATTTGGAGTTAAGAGTTGAAATTGTGGATGACAAATTGAGGGGTTATTGTGTGGGGTAGTTGAGGCATAGCATGGGAATGTGTTAGCAGGGTGCCAGTGGTGCCATGCATAGCACCCGGGCACCCTTGATTTCTCCTTCTATCTTTTTTTTTAAATTAATTAAAATTTTAATAATATTTTGTTTAATTAAACAAAATAAAAAATTGAATCCTAATTTAGAGAAACCCAGACAAAATTTGGTATCTACATACATTAGCAAAGTCAATACCATGTCAACAAAGTTAATGCCCATGTCATCAAGTTAAAGCCCACGTCAACATTTTTAAAGACAAAAAGTTGACTAAGTTAGTAATTGCACTAAAATTATCGAATCTAAATAGTACAAGGACTAAATTTATTTGAATTATAATATATGAATTAAATTTCAAATTTTTAGAAAGTATAAAAGCCTATGATATAATTTGACCTATTTTATAATTCTTTTCATTTGAAATTTAGATGCGGACATAAGCTAGATTCAATCAATCAGTTAAGTTGTATCGGTGGTCAATTTAGTTTGTGAAAAAATCTAACAATCAAAATTCTATTAAATTGACACCAAATTAACATGATTTAATTGAATTTTGACTATTTTTATTATTAGTTAAAATATTTAAAAAGTTTTTGAATTATTTTACCTTTTTAAAAATAAGTAGTTATACTTTTATTGTATCAAAATAAACCATTATATCTTAATTTATATTCAAATAAGTTTGTATTTTAAAAAAAAAATTGATTTACATTTAGGGTTTAGTTAAATATAAATTAAAAGTTTAAGAGCTTATTTGAATATAAATTAAAAATTAAGAGTTTATTTAAATGTAATAAAAGTATAAAAGTGTATTTAAGTAGAGTTATAAAGTTTAAGAGCTTTTTATTATTATTATTATTATTATTATTATTATTATTATTTTAGCCATTATTATTCAAATGATTTTTATTATTTATGCCATAACGTACATATTCAAGAACTTGATTATTAGACACAAATAAGTAGTCATCATCAATCTTTTATATCTAAATGTGATTTTTTTTAATTTCCAGCACCACTTGCAATTTTTTTAATTTCATAATTGGAAAGTTTTCATTTATTTCTAATTTTTTAAAATTTACATGATATAAATAAATGTAATTATAAAAATTACAAATTTATTTGTCTAACACAAATTTTCAGTTTTTTAATGTTGTCTGATGATTAAAATATTGCTAATATAAAATTTTAAATGTGTATGTAAAAAAATTAAATAAACAAATAAGCAAATCAATAAATAAAAAGACTAAAGAGAAAAACAAAATAAAAAAAAACCAAAATTAAAAAACAAAGAAAAAAATTGGTTATAACCATTTGCCCAAAAAAAAAAAAACACAAAAGTTTTTTCTCCAAAACACCCCCACCAATTTATTTCATGTCTTAATTAACCCTTTAATCATTTTTTATGTCTCATCTTAAGTGCTTTTGAAATTAAAGAAATCTCACATAAAATATTGTTATGGATTAGTATGACTAAATTTCTTATGTACTACATATTAAGTGTGAAATTATTTTAAAATATTATTTCTTGGGTATTAATTATAATTATGAAAATTTAAAGGTTTAGTATTTTTTTTGGGTAAATATATTTATTTTAAAAATATTAAATATTAGATGTCGAACTTGTAGTTTAGCTTAGATGTTTCACTTGCCTCATTTTGGGGATAGATTCAAACAATGTTAAGGTTAAATCTAAAAATTTGTGTAATCGTATCGTATTTCATATTATATATGATTTCAAATATGACACGAATAATTTTGATATGAATATTTAAATAATACAAATAATTTAAACATGAATATGATATTTTTATTATATGTGTTATACGTAACACGACACGATTAATATATTTAAAATTAATTTATATCCAAATAACACGACACGACATGATATAATTAGATCTGATTAATTACCCATATAACATGATTAGATACAATTAATCCATATAATACGACATGATACAACATGATTAATATGATCATATACAAATAATACGATTAGATATGATTAATTACCCATATAATACAATACGATACGACACGATTAATATGATTATATACGAATAACACGATTAGACACAATTAATCCATTTATTTAAACAAAAAATATAATTTAAATTTGTATTTAAACAAAAAATTATTTAAAAATTGAATATTTATAATCTATTTAAACATCAAAATGATATGATAAATATGATTATTATTTTATTTTAAAAATAAATTAAAATAAATTTTATTTTTTGTATGTTACGAATAGTACCATATGTTAAGCATGTCATTACTGTTTGAGATCAATACGATATAAGTAATATTATGTCTTAACTGTGTTAACATGATTAAGATACGAAACATAATTACACTAAACCTATACATGATTTTTTCTATATCATTTTTATGTTTTGTTTAAAATTATCGATCTAGCTAAGATTCGATTTCAGCATTTGCAAATTTTCCTTTCTTAATTTCCCTTAAGTCTTAACTTCTTTTGTACCAAAAATATATAAGATATTGTAATATGGAAACTCCAAAACACCTTACCCCATAATTGTAATTGGTTATGCCTTGACTTCTTTTGTATAAAAAAAAAAATAGATATTGTAATATGGAGCCTCCAAAATACCTTACACCATCATGGTAATTGGCTAAGCTGGATGAGTTCTGCTTTTATGTATTAAAAGTAAATCCTTACAAGAATCTAGTGCTTAACTACTGTATGCAATTATTTTAAGAGGAGATATTAGTAGGTTTAAGGTTCAAATCTCAACAATTATAATTATTTTTTAATCTCTAAGTTATGATTTTCTTTTTTTTTTTAAAGAAAAAAAATAAATACCTAAAAATGTATAAAATTTATCAGTTAAAGTTTAAAACATAATAATCCTTAAAAACAATAGTATAATGTATGAAAAAACAAACTTTTACATATATTTCATTTAGTAAAAAAAATAAGTATAGTTATATGTGAACAAACAAATGATTTCTATATCCTCTACTTCAAAGAATTAACAAAAACATGTACAGGAGTAAATTAAATAAAAATTGAATATAACATTCAAAGCAGTGTATGACTTCCTGGTTGGGATTTTGAAGTTGTTGGGAAATTAAAAAATGGATCTCCAAATGGGTTAGAAGAACCCATGTATTGCATTTGCTGTTGCTGTTGAGGGTATTGGTAAGGAACCATCGTCACGTGTTGTTGGTGATGTTGTTGTTGTAACATCATTGGCTCTTGTTGATATTGTTGTTGTTGAGCCAACAAGGCCATTTGTACATTAGTTAGGGGTGCATTGTTGTTTGACATTATAAACGGATCATGCTGTTGTTGCTGGAATGGGTTTTCCACAATAGCCAAACCTTCTTGTCCATATCCATATCCTGCATTTGTCAACTGTATTTGTCTCCTAGCAGCTTCATCTTCATACAAGCTATCTAGTAATAATTTGTCAAATCCACCCGCCTATCCAAAATTCAATTTATTACCACCACTATTAAATGGATATAATAACATCATCTTAAGGGTAAATATCAAAGTTTGGAATTATTCCTTTACATATTTTTGACCGGAAATCAATCAAAATAAAAGTATGTTGATAAAATTCATCAAAATTAAATTATTTTTAAAATTCAAAATTGAGTCATAATCTAATGACAAATTTGGTATTTGTCTCATATATAATCTCATAATAGATTGAAGATTCAAATCATAACTTGGATTCAAAATGAATAGATTCGTTATGTTGCAAGTCAAAGTTTACATATATATATATATATATTTAGTAGAGAAAACTAACCAATTTGCTTTCTACCACATGAGTTGAATTGTTGCTCGGTGTTGTAACAAGTGCTAGCTCCCATCCGGTACCACCAATTTCACTTAAACCACGATTTGCTGAATCATTGCCTTCTTGAATGCAAGAAAAACAAAAGGTCTTAATGCATATATGTATTACAAATACAAACAAGCATACTACCAAAAAGAATTGACACGATCACTAAGAAAATTTTCATACTTCAAAAGGATCATGGATTTTAATAATTCAAACATTTAAAAATGTATGATAATGTTTTTGGCTAAAATAATAAGAAAGCCACTTAATTTTATCACTTTATTTAAATAAACTTTTATACTTATTATTATATTCAAATAAGTCTTTGTCGTTGAATTTGTATATAAATAAATTCTTAATATAAATCAACTTTTTATTTAAAGTAAGGGCTTATATGGACACAAATGAAATGATAAGAGTTATTTGGGTACAATAAAAACATAAAAACTTAGTTAAATAAAATTAAATAATTTAAGGGCTATTTTAGTATTTTTAACCTAATGCTTTTAAAGATTTATAACTCAGCAATACTTAATTCGAAATTTTAATTTGTTTGAACACTTGAGACTACTAAAATTTGAACCTTAATAACTGAAACCAAGAGTTGAGCACTCTATCAATAAATACATTTTTTTTTATTCTATCTCAATTCTTTCTTATTTGTTTAGTTTTTAAAAATTTTCTAAATCAACATTATTGTACTCAATTTTTAACTCATTAAAGAATTTGTTAATTTCTATTTTTTATCAATAAACTAAAGAATTTGGCATAATTACTTTGTTAGCATTTTTTTTTTTTGGCAAACGATTTCTTCATTTCCAAGAAAATGAAAACATAATTCTACCTTCTTCAATTACCATATTTTACTCACAAAATCAGGCGCGTAAATAAGTTTTTCAATTCTTAATTTTATTTACTAATAATCTTTAGTTTCATTTTAAATGATTGTAACTTCCATTCCACTGATATTGAATCACTAATTTGCTATATTTTCATTCTTTTTTTAATAAATTTTATGCTGATATAAGTTATAGTTTTTGCAGCAATATAATTTTTATGCAAATACATATTTGAAATCAATTTATGAATTTTAAATAAAAAAATTGAAATCTAAAGCTTTATAATCCAAATGTAAATTTGAGTTCCCAAACACAAAGATATTTGGTAAAGTATTTCACACTACCTGGTGGAACGATTGCAAGAGCCAATGCATTGCTTTCCTCTAGCTCTACAGCTTTTGGATTGATTTCATTTAGACCCTGAAGAAACAATAATTACTTTAATAAAATTTGATCAACCCATTGTTAAGAAAATTGATATGTATTAAAAAAACTTACCAACAAATCTCCTATATTATTTTCAGTTGATATAAGTGGTTGAGGTTCCTGCAATTCCTCCTCAGGTTGAGCCTCTTCTTCTTGATCAATCAATGATTTATGCTCCTGATCAATTTTTTCTTCTTTGTTTTTTGCTGTTTCTACCGGTTCATCTGGCGGTGGGGGTGATTGTTCTCTTTCTTGATATTCCTGTAATAAAATAAAATAAAAAAACAAATACAACAAATTTATTAGAATTAATAATTATAATAACTCATAAAATACAAATTCAACTAGAAGTATTGCTAAAACCTCTTTAAAAGTTTTTTCAATATGAACTAAATCATATAAAACTTTAAAAAGTCACAAAATTGCTGAATTTTAATTTATAAATTCTAATTAATGACCAAGACAACAAAAATACTAAAATCATGATCTCCCATACAAATTCTAGTAAACTAAATAATGACAGCAAGCAAATTTAATGAATTGAAGTCTGCAAGATAATATTTTTACACTATCAATGAGCTTTTATTATAAAAAAGTTAAAAGTAATGAGTAATGAAGAATAACTTGACGACCAAAATAAATATCTTATTAATTAAGATATTAATGTCAATCTAGTTTTTATAAATAAAAATTATCTCAGCGGAATTTTTAAAGAAAGGTTACAATATATCCTTGTAATAGTGTATATTAAAAAATTAAAAAACACATGATAATTTTTAATATCACTTATAGAGTTTAAAAGCTCCAACGAGAGTTTATATAAAACGAACTCCTAGAGAAAACTCCAAACAGAAGATATACAAAAATACAAGTAATTAAAGCCTCTCACCAGTCTATTTTGGACAGAACCTGTTTGTGGAGCTTCTTTTATATATTCGTCCATTGTTGCAAGAAATGATGGTGGTGGCTGCTCATTACAATAAAATAAAAAAAAAAAATTAAGACACTATATATTCATTTGAATTTAACAATTCTTATAAAATTTCATGTAAAGAAAGAACCTGTCTTAATGTTGGAAACTGAAAGTTCCTTGCAAGATCCAATCCTTTGCAGTATTCATAAAATTCAGCAAGATTTTCTGCCTATATAGTTAAAAAAAAGTTTTACAAAATAAATACAATACAAAAATTTATTTTATAGACAATTCTGCTAAAAATAATAATATATTAAAATTAATTTAAAGTAAGAAGGAAATAATTATCAACCTGTTGACCAGCTCTTTTGTATATGTTGAGTGCTTTGACTGCATCATGTTTTGACATATCAAAGAACTGTAAAACAAAAAGTAAATTTCACATAAAAATATAATGAAATACAAACTTATAATCCTATATATGATTTCTGTTAGAATCAATATCAAGATAACCTACCATATCCACAAGATTGATAATTCCATCATTGATAGCACAATATATTTTGAAACTCTCTTTTAATACCTGCATGAATAACATAACATGCAGTTTAAAAAATTGCAAAAAAGTAATATAAAAAAAAAATAAAGATTTATCCAAAACTGCAATTAAAAAACTAAATACAAAAATACAAACTGTCATTATTTATATATTTTCCCAAAAATAAAAGGCATAATGAAAAAGAGTTTTTCTATAGTTATTTCTATTTAATAATAATATAAAATAAAACATTGCTTCTTTCTATATATAATTAATATATAGACATATATAGAAACATAACTAGAAGTTGGTAATTACTATTTACAACAATTTAGCTTTTAATGACTTTTTAAAGAAAAATTTATACAATTATGAAGGTAGAAAGTTTAATTTAAAACAAATAAATGTAAATGCAACTTTCTTATTAAAGCTTGTCAGAAAAATTATGTTATCAATTTATTTTTTTCCTTTCATTTGAATTTTCTAATAATCAAGAAACTATAGACCTATTAATTTTTAATGGTAAGTTTGAAAGATAAAATTTTATCAATTAATAACAATAACACAACCTTATATCTTACATTAAAAGATGTTAAAATCAATTTTTTATCATTAGCAATTTGTTTAAAACTACCATTAGCAATTTACCTAGTAATTTAAATAAGATAAATAAATCTATTTTTTTACAAAAATATTAATAATTCTTCAAAAGTAAGAAAAAAAATTGGCATAAAGGTAAATATGTAATGCATACCAGAGTTATGGCATACTGGACAAGGTAATTGCTGTAAGCCACTCCTTCGGGCTGCAAAATCAAAAGTAATCAAAAAACAACTTTAAAAACAAAGGTGGCAAACGGTATTTGAAAGAAAATAGGAAAAAATCGGCTAAAGGTGTAACTCAACAGACAACTTTACAAGAATTTGAAAATTCCAAAATAGAGGCTTTATATTCGAAATTTTTGGGAGGATACATGAAGTTGAGTTGGAAAATTTGTATTTAAGAGTGTGATTAAAAAATTATGATTTAAAATTTTTAAATGTTTATCGTTACTATAAAAAAGTGTTATGGTGAAATGAAATGTGAAAAATATATGTATAAAATAAATAAAATTATTGATACAAAAATAATAAAATCATTTTACCCACAAAAATTTCGTTTCTATTTAGGAGCTCTTTGATTTGTTATGAGCTAGATTTTTAAACCGAAAAATCACATATTTTATTATTTAACTTTGAGATTGAATCAAAAGCAATTTTTGAACACAAAATCCACTTTCAACCTCAATACTAAACTAATCCTTTATATGTATTTAAATTTAAAACAATGATATCCTACAATTTTTTAAAATGTGAAATTAAATTAAATTGTATCCGAACACTATAATTCAATAATAAGTGCACATCTCTTCAATTAAAAAAAATGGGATTCTAATCCTTTCTCCTAAGCAAAAGGAATATCAAATTAAATTGTGCATAATATATAAACAAATACCTGACAGCCGATAAGGCGATAAAGAAGTTGTTGTAATGCAGGCAATTGGTCTATTAATTCATCACTACCCAAAAGTCTTGTTCTACTATATGCCTGTCAGGATTAAGAAAAAAAGATTATGATTTCAAATTATACTAATTAATATATAGTGACTTTCAACATATGTAAAATAAAAACCTTGCTTCCACCAGGTGATGTTTTTATCAAGCGTTCTGCTTCAATATCATATTTTAAGACTCTAAAGCATTCAAGCCTTTCCTCTAAAAAAAGTGCGTACGTCCTAACCCATGCAGAGCAATCCCATGCTGCAAAACAATAAAAAAAAAAAAAAAAAAAAAGATCACAAGTTTTTTTTTAAATCTCCGGGAGTTTGTACAAATTTGCTGTACTAAGAAATAAAATATAAGGTAAAATCAAGTAAAATACATCCAAGGTCCCTAAACTTTAAAAAATGTTACATAATTATTGGGCCGATCGAGGACCAATTAATGTAATTAGAATTTGAAAGTTGATGAGCATGCAAAATTTCCAAAATTGTGTAAAATGTAAACATACCAAGAGGGCTTGAATCATCTTTAAAATTTGATATTTGGAGAACATGTCCTCTATGGGAGTAGTTTAGAAGCTCCTCTCTGAAAGTAGGATCACCTTCTCTTAATGTTCTATGAATAACTATTAGTATCTTAATAGCAACCTGTTGATATTCATTTGTTAAAATATATATATATATATATTATTCAAATGAATATCCCAATATTCAGTAAAATCCAAACAACACAATTAAAAACAAATAAAAAATCAATATACCCAAACAGAAATAAAATCAAATCATTCTATATATTAATTATCTTTAATAATTATTATTTGCATAATGAATTTCCAAAATTCTAAATGAAAATAGAACTTAAACTGGTAAAAAAGGTCTCGATGACACAAAAAGAAAAAAAAAATACAGAGAAACGAAATGAATAAATTCAAGGGAATAATTATATACATGCTTGCTCAATTTTAGAAGTGACATCCATTTTTAATAAATTTAGTTTCACAATGTTTTAAACAGGTTATAACACTTCCAATAATTTAAGAATTAAATAAAAAATGAAGAAAAAAACCACCAAAAACATTTTAAAAAAAAGGAAATGAAGGAATAAAACATTACAATCCAACTTCGCGTCTTGGATAATCTCTTTGCTAAAGCATGAATGCAATATGCTACATCTGCTCGTGGTCGTACAACTGATGTAGCTGAAAATATTTCTAACAACATTAAAATTAAAAATTAAAAAAAAAGAAATCAAAATGAGAAAATAAAGCATTCAATAAAAATTTTCAGCAAAAAACTCAGGTATTATGAATGGATTACACATACATAAACGGGAACTTACTTCGAACATGACGTTCTTTTGGAGGACATTCAACATGGTTGGTGGCTTTCACAATGGCAATGTCTAAATCCTGAAATCAAACAATACTATTTAGGAAACAAAAATAAATTTTGAAGCAATGTAAATCTAACAAATTTGGAGACAATAATAATATACCTTGAAATCGCTATTGACCTTTGCAAGGCCAACCTTGGTTGAGTCTTTGAGAGCCCCATAAGCCTGTCTAAAACTCTTAAATGTTCCCATCCTCTTCTTCTTCTTCTCCTTTCCTTTTTCAAGAAATAAGAAAAGAAAAAAACATTTCTAACCAAAATTGATAACAATTAGTATGGATTTCTACAATATTTTGTCCAAAAAAAAAAGAAGAAAGATCAAGAAATGTTTTTCTATGTATTTGATTGTTTGTTTGTATAGGGTTTTTTTTTTTTTTTTTTCTGTATAACAAATTGTATCTTTAAAAAAAAAAATCAAAGGAAAAGAACCCAACAAACTGACTCTCTCTAAAATGGGTGTAATGAGAAGAAATAACTAAATTGGATGTTTTAGTCATTTAACGGTTTGGTTGTGATTTTTTCTTATACGTTTTTAGATTTGATACGACTACTCATATTTAAATAACAAAAACGATTGTTTTGTGAACATGTCCTAACATCTATCATGTTTAAATGACATTTATTAAATGGATGTTTGCATTTAGCATTTTCTTTGGTTGACACGTGACGCTGGTGAAAAAAATATTGGAGTGTGCCGGTTGTTAAGAGCAGATGACGCGAGTTATTTTTGTATGGGTTCGTGAATTTAAGTATTTTCGAGTTTTGACCTTTTGGGCTTTTATTATCCTTTTCTTTTTAAAGTTTAATTAGATTTTTTAATTATTATTTTTATGTTTTTGTTAAGGAGAGAGAAAGATGAAGCAGTGAGAGAGACAGGGAGAGGAGGTACATATCACCTGCAATTAATTATTCTACAACTCTATAATTCACTGACTTGGATTAAAAAGAATATTGGCATGTGCACCGTAAATTTATATTACTCTTGATCAAATTATAACGATAAAAATGAATAACCTTTTTATTAGTTTATCTAAAACGATTTTTTTATTTGCCTAAAACTTGATTTTTTTCAAATTTCCTTCTTTTTTCCAAAAAGATCATAATCTTTTGAAACGACTGACCACAATAGCAATCAAATACTCTTTTCACACTTGAAAAAAAGACCCCTTGGACAATCCTTTCCTCGTTCTCATTTCCTTACCGGTCCTTGACAAAGTAAAGAAGATAAACAAAACCAAAATAGAAAATGGCAACACTCGCAATCAGAGCTGCCCAAAATTAAAGTATTGGGCTATGAAGACTACCATTCAACTTTTTGAGAAGCCTCTCCAGTCTCCACTGCCATTTTGACTGTAAAACCTGGCGCCTTCCTCTTCAGCTTCCAAAAAAGCCCAAGAAAGAAAAAAAAGAAGAAAAACCTGCTCGAGGTAGCTCTGTTCTTATCCGGCAGGGGGCTTGGTTGCGACATGGCCAAAACTCAATTGTTTCTTATCAGATCACAAGATCAATCTTTACAAGGTCCTCTCTTTCTCCATTTCTCGGTCCAAAAACATAATACAGATTTCTTATGGGTTGGGTTTCTCAAGTTTGGTCTTTTGAATTCTTTTATATTGAAAAAGTGATTTTCAAATAATGGGTTTTATGTGTTTACTAAAAAATGTGAAGAGTTGATGGACTTTAATGGTTGTGTGTATTGGTTTTTAATCTTTGATTTGTTTTCGCATCCTTTTTTAATAAATATATTGATTGAAAATTTTAGGGATTTAGTAGGTTATGCAATTTTTATTGTTGTTGGTTCTATCCTTAGGATTTATGGGTTTATGTGGCTTGATATTGTTTGCAGGATGGAAGGAATGCCAAGGCATGGGGAATTGTTCACAAAGATGGTTTGCTGTAATTATCATGTAGGGGTTATTGTGCTAGATGGCGTAAGATATTGGTTAGAATTTTATTGTTTAAGCTTTTTGTATTATTCTGCTAATCGGTGTCACCTTATTTTGGAGATATTTATCATTTTGGTGAAATGAGTCTTGGTGTTTTCTTGTCTAATCTCGTGCTCAATACATCGTTAAATATAGTTGTGTATGAGTTATTCTAATATGTAAGTTTGAGAATTAATTTATTGATTAACTAAGTGAATTTATTCTTTTTAAAAAAGTTTTAAGCTTAATTAAAGGTTCTTAAAAAAACAAATAAGTTTTGATTTTCAAAATAAAATTAAAATTGAAAGTTCATTATAGCACCCTATAATACCTACAAATTGATATTAAATAATCTTAAACTATTTTTTTATCTTAATTAACATTATCTTAATTTATTCTTATTATATATTATTTATTTAAATATTGTAAATACTTTTAGATTTTCTCTAACACTTTGTTGACCACCTAAAAATATTTATCACTTTAAGAATATTCACTTATTTCCTTGAAAAAGCTTTGTAATAAGATTTATTAAATATTTTCTAAAAAAAAAATAGTTTATAAATACATGATAATATACACAGTCAAATTTATAATAATCAAATATAATAATCAAATACAAAATTTAATATATATAATCACAAATAATTAATCATGAAAGAAAATCACAATTTATTTCAATTTTAATTTTTTTCAAATTAGAAATAAATATTGAGGTCAATTTTTAAATCTTCCAATATTTGAATTGAATTTAAAAAAAATTCTCTCACCTTTCTTTAGAAATCTAATTACCGATACCGAAAGCTTTTTAGAAACTTCAAACTACTATTGGAAATATCAATAGAAAATTCGAAGTCCGTTGAAAATTTAACCAAAAAAAAATTCAAAGTACCTAAGAAAAATATCTAGAAAAATTCCTAGAACAATTTCCTAAACTTGGTTTTGATTTATGTTTTTCCAAATCTAACCTTTCTTCAAATTGAAACCTAAATTCCAAAAATTCTCAAAGATTAAAAGATCACTAAAAAATTTTTTTTGCTTCTATTGCCCTTTGTTTCCATTGTTTCTCTCTCTTGTGCTTGATTTCGATTTTTTAAATAGGCATTTGAGTCTAAATTTAAAAACAACTACCTTAATTTCTTTTTTATTCGGTTTCAACCTCATAAAGGATTTCAATCCTTTTTTAATCCCAACTCTTTTCTTTTGTAATTTCGCACTCTCCTTTTTTAAACCAAAATAAATAAATAAGTACATAAATAAAAATAAAATAAAAATTTAACTCTAACTAAAACTCCAGACAAATGTGTTGTTATACAAAGACATAGACATCAATAATGTCTGGATCCTAATCTATTAATTTTTTTGAAAGGTCAACTTTTAAGAAAATTTAAAAGGCTACTTTCATCAGATGCTTAACAACTTTAAAAATTATAAATGGCTCCTCTCATCAAAGGCTTAATAACTTTGAAAATTTTAAAAGGCTTTTCTTATCAGAGGTTCACAAACTTTTGAAAAATTATAAGGTTCATTTTATTAGAGGCTTAATAATTTTTGAAAAATATAAAAGACTCATCTCATCAGAGGCTCAACAACTTTAAAAAGTTATAAAAGGCACCTCTCATAAGATGCTTAACAACTTTGGAAATTTAAAAAGCTCCTCTTATCATAAGCTCATCAGCTTTTGAAAAATACAAAAGACTTATCTCATCAGAGACTCAACAACTTCAAAACATTATAAAAAATTCCTCTCATTAGATGCTCCACAATTTTGAGAAATTATAAAAGTCTCATTTTATCAGAGACTCAACAACTTTGAAAAATTATAAAAGGCTCATTTTATCAGAGATTCAACAATTTGAAAAATTATAAAAGACTCTTCTCATCAGAGGTTATGAAATTTTAAAAATTAAAAAAACTTCTTTTGCCATAGGCTCAATAACTTTATAAAATTTAAAAGGCTCATTAACTAAGGTTTACCAACTTTTCTTGAAATCATTTCCTTTATCTGGAGGTTAAAATTCTTATATTTGACTCTTTTCCTCAACTGAGAATTGAAATCCATCTTTACAAAATTTCTTTAACTAAGGATCAAAATCTCATAAAAAAGTCTTATTTTTGCAAAAAATTTTCTTTAATTGAGGATCAATACCTTGTTCTATAAAAGTTTCCCTCATTGGGGATCAAATCCTTATCTACAAAAATTATTCTCCACCAATGATAAAGTGTCATTTTTTTTTTTTTGGAAAAAGTATCCTCAAGCAAAAACATTTCACATTTTTGTTGGTCTCAATTTTAAGATCCAAGATCACAATGTCTTATCAAACAAATCCCATGAATGCAATGCTATGAATGTAATGTCATGAATATAACTCTAATTATGGTAAAAAGGTTTTCAATATCTTTTTAATGCCTTTATTCATTTTCAATTTTGAAGAATCATAATTTTAGGATTGGTTAATAAGTTCTATCAACAAGTTTATGAACCAAAATCTTCATTTGCCAATTCGATCATGGTATTTGAACTTTTTCAAAATGTTCCTTCTTTTATTTGAAGGCCTTAAGGATTTAAATTTCCTTCGTCACTCTCAATTTCTTTTTCATGCTACCACTATCACTTGACTTTCATTTCAAAGTGATGCAAGAATCTTTTATGAACTTTATCATTCATTTATGTCATTTTCAATTTTATGGTAAATGCAATTCATGACATATTTCCTAAACTCATTTGGAAAAGCGATAATAATGAAGTGCAAGGTAAATTGAAGGAAATAGGTAATCAATATAAGTTTAAGTCTAAGTAAATGAACAATTTCAAAGTACATTATTAGGATAAATGTTTGGATGGTTTAGCAACATCCAAATAATAAATATTCAAACAATTTTAGAAATAAATCCAAAATTCTTTCTTAAAAACTCACCTTATTGATGCCTTTTTGTATTTTGAGCTCATCTAACCAAATCTTGCCTCTATCCCATAAGATTCTCAAATGATATTGTTAAAGCTGTCTTTACATGTTTCCAACCTAGTTATCTTTTTTTTTTAACTTAAATTACCCTTTTCAGGTTTTTAATTTAAATATTCATTTTTTTCTTATTTTTCATCATTTTTCTTTCACTCCTCATTTTTGCTTCATTCACACAGTCAGTCCCATCAGACTCTTAATCAATCCCTAAATATAAGAGATCATAATATCTTTGTCCTTTAACTAAATCACAAGCATGCCTTAAATATGATTCTTTTAATTAAAGCATTCATATTTGATCAAAATATATTTTTAAGGCACATATAATAGGCTATGGTGAGGCGTTATGAAAAAAAAATTGATAAAATAGGCCCAAAAATGTGTTTAAGGGTAATCAAACTAAGGATCATTTATCATCATGTAAAATACATGAACGTTTTACCCCATTTTTCAACCTCATCA